TTTAGGATGATTAACCTGTCATTTGCTGTACAAAATGGATCTGAGTGGGTTGGTGGGGGCCTTTGAAATTGGTGGTCTACTGGGAAGAGTCTGGGGTTAGCATGGTAGGTGACACAGATCTGGCTTTGGCTCTGCCACTGACCACCTGTGTTCCTTGCTACACTCACAGCGTTTCACTATGCCAGCAGTCTTTTATCTTTTAGCACTAAAAGTCTATAATTATATGTTTTGGAAATGCATAATTTATTTTTTAAAGGGTTTTATTTATTCACTTGACAGAGAGAGAGAGAGAGAGAGAGAGAGAGAATACAAGCAGGCAGAGCAGTAGACAGAAGGACAGGGAGAAGCAGGCTCTCCACTGTGCAAGGAGCTTGATGTGGGGGTTGATCCCAAAACTCCAAGATCAAGACCGGAGCCGAAGGCAGACGTATAACCAACTGACTCACTGAGGCACCCCAGAAATGCATAATTTAGAGAATCCTGTATTTAACGATGGATATGCTACAGATTTGATATTTCTTGAAATTACACATAATAAAAAAAGGCTGAAAGCCTGACAGAAGATGGTTAGCTACAATATGACACCTTGTATCCTCATATCAAGAACCTACTTTTGGATCATTTTAACTCTGGATCACTTTACCTCACATTAATGACTCATATGTTAAAAAGATAGGTATTTTTTTACCCTGATCCTCATTTTTATATTTGTCTGACGTTAACCTCTCCCATTTTTATATTTGTCTGACATTAACCTCTAAGCATCTTTCATCATATTGCTTACACAACAATTTCAGGTCCCATGAACTGGTTGGTACAGGTCTCAATACGCTGCTGGGCTCCTGGCCTCTTTCCTCCCTTCCCGATGCTGAGAAGCCATTAACAAACACCACTGTCCTGGGTGCTGACATAGAACAAGCAGTTACCTTCCATTTCTGCTGAGGTCACCCTGATGCAGAATATCCTAAAACATGGGCAAGGGAAGGTAATTCCAGCTATTTAAAGCAAAGCACTTTTGTTAGGTCTGGTGTTTCCTCTGTATTTTTCTTTCTTCAGAGAAGCCCCAGGTACCAGGGCTTTGATTCTGCCCTTCCCTGTCATCTCTAGTCTGTGAGTTTGCCCACATCCCTGGCAAACTTTAATCCCCTCAGGTTTCTTTCTATTTCCTGGAGAGTACGATTCTGGCTCTGAGAAAAAGGTCATGTACAAGGAAGACACAGGTCATAAGCATGTAGTTGCTCCTAGGCTGTCATCCCTCTTAGTTCAGCTGACTGGAAGAAATACCAGAAATAGTTGCAAAAGGAGGATCTGAAGTGAGTACTAAATTATGACGTGTGGCAAACACTAGAGAGGAAAGTCAAGAAAGGCTCCTGGCACTATGGAAAGGAGAAAAAGGTCTAAATCATTCTCTTCACAGACCTGACCAAGGAGATCTAGCTAAGAGAAATAGAAGTATATGAATTTGAGAACTATAACAAAGAACTTCTGGGCCAAACAGGGATGAGGAAATGTCTATAAAGCAACAGAATTAAAAAACAAATGTGCTCATAAAAAACTTTCAATAGAATAGACAGAAAACAAGTTATTTTGGTTAATTATTCAGTGGGGACAGTGTTTGTTTGTTTGTTTGTTTTTTAACAGATGGGAAACTGAAACCTTTAGAGGGAAAAGTCACTTGAATATTATCATAAAGAAATAGGACCCCACTGTTCTGATTCTCAACTCCCTTTGCACCAACATCCAAACGACATTCCATCTTTTATGTTCTATTGTTCTCTAAACTCAATCCTCTAGGATGTGGAAACTTTGATGCTCTTGGAAATTGCTTCTATATTTGTCCAATGCCAACTTCTGTGCTAGGAGAAGTTTGAAGTTCAACCCAAAAACACAGGGCTTGGCACAGTCAATAGCTCATTACAACTTCTCATTAGTTGTGTCTCTTGGGGCAACTATGGCATTCCTGAGTGTGACTCAGTATCACCACTCAGAACTGAGGGTTCCTGATTAATCTGAACTGAGCCAGAATAAAGGCTGAAATGAGCTCCTACCAAATGAAGCAACATATCTTGCAGAAAGAAAGTAAAAAGTTATGTGAAAATTTCTCAAATCGCCATCCTAGTATTAACCTAAGGATGATATAGTAATGCCTAACACTTATTCAGCATATATTATGCTCCAGGCATCATATGTGTGCTTGATATTAATTCATTTATTTCTCTTAACAACCCTATGGGGCAGGTACTATTATCATCCCTATTTTAAATAGGAAAAGAAGTTACATAAACATTAAGTAACTTGCTAGAATGGCTGGGAGCATGAATTACTTTATTTATTTTTTTTTTTTTTATAAATTTTATTTTTTTTAATTTTTTATTTATTTATGATAGGCACACAGTGAGAGAGAGAGAGAGAGAGGCAGAGACACAGGCAGAGGGAGAAGCAGGCTCCATGCACCGGGAGCCCGACGTGGGATTCGATCCGGGGTCTCCAGGATCGGGCCCTGGGCCAAAGGCAGGCGCCAAACCGCTGCGCCACCCAGGGATCCCATGAATTACTTTAGAACAGAAAGAAGGATCCTAATTTCAGGAACCATCAAAAGTTTTTCTAGATTAATAATGACTTCCGTCGAAATGAGGTATGGACTTTATAGTTCATAATAATGTACCACTGACAGTTTCTCAGTACGGCACCTTCTTCACATGTGTCATGCTGATACATTAAGTTAACAATGGGGAAAACTGGGTTTTCTTATTTTTATGTGTACTATCTTTGTAAATTTCCTGTAAGTCTGAAATTATTATAAAATAAAAAAGTTATTTAAAAAAAAAAAAACCTTTATCCAAATACTTTTTAGAGGGAACTTTTCGTTGAGTCAGGTCAGATAAGAACAAAGTCAGGTCAATAAGAACCTAAAAGTCAGAAGAATATTAAAAACAGTGGGGCCCTCGTAACACTGTTCATTTTATACATGAGTGAGAGAACATTAAGGTCTCCATTAGTACTAACTTATTTAGCTTCAGAGACTTGTGCTAGAATTTTAAAGGCAAATTGGAAACTATTTCCTGGAACAACGCCTTACAGCATGCCTTTTGATACTTGGATTATATTTCTTAAATTCTGAAGAAATCTTGCTTTTCCCCCCTTCTGTGCATTTTTGGTGCTGAGCTGTTTCCGGTTTTCCCACACTCCTGCCTGTCAGAGAGAAGAAACCACAAAAATGCAGCAAAGTTTGTCCACAGAGCTGCAGTTCCATCTCGAAAGGCTGAAGAGTTCTCCTGCCAGCAGTGAGTTGAGGGCAGTGAACAGCATCTTCGAACGTCCAGCCCCACTGCCTGCTGCCAGAGCCCACCTCCTCACCAGCAGACTAGCTAGCCACCACACAGGCCACCAAGGGCCCGCTCAGGGTACTGGCAATTCTCCGAGGATCCACAACTAGGGAGCACGCTGGCAAATTCTACATTCATATCTGACTCACTGATTTTCCTACCTAACTGTGGGCTTCGAACGTGTGAAACAGAGCATGGTTTTGGAATGCTTATGATGGTAACTAATGCTCACTGACTTCTTACATGTGCTAGATTCTTGTTCTATGTACATGTATTAACTCTGCTAATATTATCAATGGCCTATAAAGCAGATACTGTTTATTATCTCCACTTCAGAACTGTGGAAAAGTGGGGCTAACAGATTAAGTAACTTGCAACTTGACAAAGGTCTTCAGGTAGTAAACTGTGGATGAGGGTGTGAGTACAGGCAATCTGATTCCAGAGGCTGCAACCTGAAGGACTCGATTCTACTCTTGCCAGGGTGAGGAGCCATACATCTTCCTTCTTACTGTGCTCTTGGCCTTGACCACGAACTGCCCCCTTCTGACTACCCTTCCCTAGTGCTCCAGAGAGTTCTGTAAAGTCATTACAATGCCAATTATTCCTACAATAGCACTTAGTAGGCATGGAATAAGTATTTGTTGGACAGATGAATAATGGCAGCAGTATAATTAAAAGTCACAAGGGACTGTTTTCTATCCAAATCCACAATTTGATTCCCTGTCCAAGGGGGAAAAAAGAGGAATTGATTTTTCTACATCCTACGACTGGTTATTACAACTAAAATTGATTTTGCGAGGGACAAATGAACGAGGAGACTTAATGAGAGCAAGAGAAAAACCCAAAATCCCTCACCCCCTCTACGTGTTTATCCATCAGGGAATGCTTGCTTCTTATCAGCATCTTTGGAAAGTTTCTCAAATTTAAACGGAGAAGGGCCATTAGAACTAACACTCTTTATTGGTCTTATTTCTGGTTCGCTAGCTAAAATACAGCTGGAAATAAGAGTGAAGGATGTAACCTGAAAAAAATTGATTGAGGCATGGGAACGTCTTTCTGAGGTAAAATGGGCAAAAGGTATTAGAAACAAGTTGCTCTACAGAGCCTGTGGACTAATGTCAGTGAGTTAATCCCCTACCCCGCCACCACCCATAAAGTCCCACTCTAATGTCTTTCCATTCAAATACCTACAAGTAAATGACAAACAAGGGTGGGTGGGTGGGTGGGGTGCTACTGAATTTTATACACAACTGCAAAGATCTGACTCTGTAGAAAGATCCAGAAAAGAAGAGATTGGGAAGAAGCTTTCATTTCCCATCTCCAAGCCCACAGTTCAGCAGTGTTAGCTGATCGTAGTTCCTGCCAGAGGCTGGAGGATCATCAGCAATGATCCTGAACCCTGTGTTAACCCTCATCACAATCCCCAGGGAACCTGAGAGCAGCACCTGTCCGTCCCACAGGGTAGGCAGTGCCTACTTTGGCGTGGTTCACTGACTCCCCAGGGGATTCTGACCTGTAGCCCAGGCTGAGAACCAGAGTTAACCTGTGGCACCCATCAGGAGTTCTTGTCTTTGACGTACAAATGGTTTTGTAGGCCTCATAAATGAAGAGTACTCTTAGCACAGAACTACTACAACTCAGGAGAAACTGAACAAAAGATTGAGGAGGACTTACTTGGTGACTCTCTGGGATGTCATCTTTCTGAGGATTTGTTTGTGATTGGCTGGGGGCTTGGGGACCAGTGAGGAGGAAGAGCTTGGAGGTGGCACCACTTTTTGTGGCAGAGTGGTTGGCTTCTGGCCATTAGCCGTGGCACTTGAAATTCTACCGGCTGCACCATTATTTATTGTCCATAAATTGGAGTTAGATAGTGTCTGGCTGCCAAAGATGGCCTATAAGAAAAAGAAAGAAAAAAAGGTCAAGGGGATGTCCTTCTAACTCATTTGCTGTAAGTGAAGGGCTTATAATCCTCAAGTGAGACAAAAGGAGAAGGGACACTACTGCTCAGGAAAGGGGAAAGGAAATATTTCTCTAATAATGCCAGCACAGGTCTACATTCAGAGGGGGAAAATCTCTGGAAGCACAGAGTTGAAATGGTCTCATTGGAAGTGCACTGAGCTAGGAATCAGGGTTATCTGGGTATTATGTATTATCCACTGCAGCAATCAGAAAAGCATTTGGTCTCTCTTAGCCTAAGTTTCCTTCATTGTTAAATTCAACAAATATTTAATGAATGTCTTCTACTGGGTGTGTGGCTTGAAGCCTGACTCAACTCCAGCCTACTCAGATGGCTCTGAACTCCTCTAGAAGGTTTGCACATTTGAGGAGTGGGAAGAAGCCAGTTTGACAAGGGTATAGGGAGCAGAATGGATGCAGAGGGAGGCTGGAACAGAAAAGCCGGACTTGCATGGCCTTGAGGGCTGTTTGTAGAATTCTGAAATAGTAACACTTTGTTGACCTAAAGATTGACATTAGACTTTACATTTTGAAACACTTTCAGGGCACCTGGCTGGCTCAGTTGGTAGAGCATACAACTCTTGATCTCAGGGACAGGTTCGAGCCCCATGTTGGGTGTAGAGATTACTTAAAAATAAAATATTTTAAAAAAATAACATAAAACACTTTCAAAGTAGAATTACTATCTGAATACTAGTTATTAAATGAATATAAGATCAACACGAAAGTATATTTGCTCAGAGGGTAAGCCTACAAATCAATAAAGACCTAAAAATCACCATCTAAATATCACAAACACCAACATATGTCTGTAGTTAGTATGTAAATGTATACTTTCTCAAGTAGATGCTTAAAAAATTCTTACAACTTATTTAACTCATTAGAAATTGGTTTTTTTGGGGTCACAGATTTTGTTACTGATCATTCAATTCTATTAGTGCTGCTTTCAATATGCATGCATTATAAAAGCTTTAAATGTGAAATAATTCTAGGATAAAAATAATAAAATTGACAAAATACACAAGGTTTTGTTTGTTTTTTTATTAACAGGATTTCTGGGAATTGATTTCCATCTGTAGATACTACATTTAAAGAGACATGGGAGAAATGTCATTTCCTTATGGCCAGGCCTAAAGGAATAAGATCAGATGCTCTTAGGAAACATTCACCTTCTAGATAGACTTTATTAGTACTGTCTTTTACAACTTATTTTTTAAGATATAAAAGATAAACTGGGTAGCTTTAGTAAAATGTTAACCAATCTTTCTATACTCATGCCTTGGAATGTCCCATTTCAGGGAAATATGTCCAAAAGTCCTGGGCTAGGCAGGTATGAGGGGGATCAAAGAATCCTGGGTTGAGTAAATGTGTTTGATGGACAAGCCTGACAAAGAACAAAGCAATTTCAAAGATAGAAGAGGGTCAGAGCATTTTTGAATGGACCAATCTGACTGAGATGTTCTTCATCCCTGCAAACTGTCCAAAGGGAAAACTGAAGAGCTCTTCACTTGCCTCCATCTCTGATCCAAAGAAGGGGAACAAAGAAAGACCCAAGCCTGTGGGCAAAGCCAAGAGGTTGACACTAGGGGGAAAGGGGTTATGTGTACACATGGGAAGGTCTTTGGATGGTCTAAGAGGACACAGAAGCCCTGATTCTGCTCCGGCCAGCCTTCCGAGGGCAAGTTACCAAAGAATGCAGCAAGTAGACTGAAAAACAAATCCATTCCTTTCAAGCACCAGCTCCATATCTGAGGAGACATTCACCTGGAAGGAAGGAGTATACTGTATGTTTCTATTTTCACCACGACATCCCAACATATGAGTTTAGATTGAAAGATGCCTCATTCAGGCCTCTATCAGTATTTTTGTTCGAAAGAAAGAAAAGAAAGAAAAGAAAAGAAAAGAAAAGAAAAGAAAAGAAAAGAAAAGAAAAGAAAAGAAAAGAAAAGAAAAGAAAAGAAAGAAAGAAAAGAAAAGAAAAGAAAAGAAAAGAAAAGAAAAGAAAAGAAAGAAAGAAAAAAAAAGGTGCCTCATTCTGGCTGGGGAAGAGACTGTAGAGATCAGAATGAGGGCTGAAGAGCTAGCTCTACATCCATAGGACAAATTCACTGGATGAGTATCAGAGGAAGAATAGACATTATTAGCAACGGGCTCTTAGAACATCTATTCAGTACATGTTGCCAAGGTGACAACTATATTTCAAGGTCACCAAGTTTTTCTTTTGTTAAAAAATCTTGCTGGGACATCTAAACGCAAATAAAAAATGAATAAAAAGAGCAATATCAGACCAGTGTGAGTATAGTAAGCTCCCATTTTTGTAAAAAGAAAAAAGAATATGCAAAGCCATACATGTATCAGATACACAAACACACAGAAACACACACACATACACATAAGGCTGATATCTGCACAGAACAATTCAGAAATGATATACGAAAAAACTAGTAACCTCCATGGAGAAAAACTAGTTAGCTGGGGGTCCAGGAGAAAGCATACATCATTTATATCTTTTTGAAATTTGTACCATCTATATGCAGTAATTTTGTACAAAAATAAATTATTCAAAGTCAAAAGAAAGTCAAATTCTCATAAGATTTAAGCAGGTAACAAAACTAACTCTGAGTACAAGTCAAAGTATCCAAATGGCACCCAAGTTTCAACCAGGTGGGTACAGGACTCACTATTAGGGAGGGCTGAAGAAGGAGCTCACTCTTCAATACTTACTATGCCTACAAATCCAGATTTGGTCATCAGTAAAAAACAAAGACTCAGTTAAGTGGAAAATAGCATGGCTTTGCAGTCAGTTGTGCCTGGGCTCAATGTAGGATCTGTCACTTATAAACTGGGTGACTTTTTCAAGTTACTGAACTTCTCTCACCTTTAGCTTCCTCATAGGTAATTACAGTTACTTTGCTGGATTATTGAGGATTAAATGAAGATCACATATGTAAATCTAGTCTAGGCATTCAATAAAGGAATCTTTTAATAGACCAAATACAAGGCTCACAGTAGACACTCAACAAATGCACCATTCCTCCCCAATCCTCTATCTCAGTTTACTGAGGAACTAAAGGATGGGATGACACGCAAGTCTGCCTATCTGTAATGATCTGTGAATGCCAGTTGGTTATGTACTTTTCAACATATTTTTCTAGTCCTATGGTGATGCTCACTAGATGTGAAAGCAAACTCTTAAAATGAAAACATATGTTTAGGTTCCCCAGATCATATTTACTCAATCCTCTCTGGCAGAAGTAATCTTTTCCTCTTCTGAATGCTTCTAACAATTTATTTGTATGTGTCTTATCATACTTAGCACATTCTACCTTGTGTTACAGCCACTGATGTATGTACTTTTCTTTCCTTCTGGACAATGCACACTGGAGATGGCTGGATTGAGATCTAATTTTTTTTTTACTCATAGTGCCTAGTAGAATGCCTTGTACATAAAACGTGCTTAATAAACATCTACCCCATGAATGCAAATAGCAAAACTCATTATAACCACTCTTCACTGTTTTTATTTTATTTTATTTTATTTTATTTTATTTTATTTTATTTTATTTATTTTTTTAGCAACTACCAAATTCCTATAACAAGAAAACAGGCAAGTTTGTGTTTGCGAAGAGATGTAATCTTATAATAGGAGCATTCTCTGGACTTTGAATCAGGCCTAGTGTATTTTTTTGTGTTCAGCTTATACTCAGCCACGAAATGTAAGTAAGCCCTTCTGCAGATCCCAAACAAAAATAATTTATCATCCTAGATGCAGATTTTGTGGCAAGCCCTTAGACATTGATGTTCCATAGTGATAAGACCAGTCAAATAACAAAATAAAAGCAATTAGGAGGATTTCTTGCTTAGGAGGCTGTCACTGACCTGGATACTAACATTTCTGTCTTTATTCCTAGTAATACTGCCCTTATTTGTTTGGGTAATGATGTGTGCCCAGCTAAAAAATTGTATTTACCAATCTCTCCTGTACTTACAAATAACCACGTGACACAGTTCTGAGATGTAAACAGAAGTCTCCAGGTCCAGTTTCCAGGAAAGTTCTTTTTTAAAAGGGGCAAACTGGGTTAGGACACAACTTTTGCCCTTTACTGTTCTTCCCACTCAGAATATGCATATCTAGCTAGTATCTGGTGAAAGTTTCTTCCTAAGGACTGCAGAGGATAAAGACAGGAAAAGCATGGGGCTCCCGACAGTATCATACAGTTCCAGAGAGCCTAACTCTAGATTTCTGATTATATGGGTAAAAAAAATCCCTAACTTGTTAAGCCATGGCAGGGAGAGGGGTCCACTAGATGCAGCAAAATGGAATCCTAACTGAGCTGAAATATAATCCTCAATCTACCAAAGAGTCATGCTTGTTTAAACCTTAACGAAACATAAATACACTGCATGCATCTCAAAAGAACAGGTACTCTTTCCACATACAGTGTAAAAAAAAAAAGAAAAGAAAAGAAAAGAAAGAAAGAAAGAAAGAAAGAAAGAAAGAAAGAAAGAAAAAGCTAGGTTCTCAGTTGTTCAGTAGTCATACTCTAATACACTGAGTGGATAATGAAGTGATCACAATTCTGTACCATCCAGTATTCCAAAGAGTCAGTAATATACAAGTTCCCAGGTATTTCACCAAAACCAAGGCTAAGTGTAATGAATTAAAGAAATCAAATTTGGTAATTAGAAACCCAGGAAAGTACCGAGGCAATGCTGAAAAGCAGATATATAAATGAATTTATTTAGACTGTTGGCAGAAATCAGCTTCCCCAGGCCTCTCATACCATGTATTGGCCCCAACCCTACAACTCCATCAACAATAGATTACATAAATTGTTATGTCCTGATATTCATTCATAAATGGAAAGAAGAATTAGATTAAGTTCCTTCTAGGGACACCTGGATGGCTCAGCGATTGAGTGTCTGCCTTTGGCTC